TTGAAATATGCAAATATGAAGATTCAGGGATGAAATTTACAAGTAGAAGGATAGAGGAACTGACATAAAAGTAGAACCTAATTTAGGGTGTGATTTGAGAAAACCCTTACTTTATCGTGTTGGCACTTTACAAGAAAATTTCTAATCTTAAGTATATTGTTGCTTCACAGAGATTTTAAAATTATCCTATTCCTTTCATAAATCTATCCATATTTATGTTTATGATGAAAGCTGCATGTGCAGAATATTTACTAAGCGGTTTTAACTTAGTTTGATTGTGCATGCCTAGCCAACAATCCAAAAGCTAAAGCTTTTGAAAGTGATACTTTAGGTAACATCAGAACCCCCAGCTTTCAAAAGGTTCTTGGCTCAAATCTCATTAATATCAATTTAAGACATACTTGTTTAACCCATTTATTTTGCCTTCTCAAACATGCCTGAATGCCCACATGATGGAACGCAGGGGAGTTAAGCACTACTAAGTGGTTTTAACTTAGTTTGATTTGCATGTTTAGCCAACAATCCAAAATCTAAAGCTTTTGCACAAAATGATTTTTGAGGTAACATCAGAACCCCTAGCTTTCGAAAGGTCCTTGGCTCAAATTTCATTACTATCAATTTTAGATATACTTGTTTAACCCATTTATTTTGCCTTCATAAATATGCCTAAATGCCCACATGAAGGGAGTTGAGCACTACTAAATTAGCTTAAGCTTTTGACAAAGTGGTTTTCTATACAAGCTTAAAATCACTTAAACCACCCAATAATAAGGATTGGGATATGATGTTATGTACTCCACAATTGTAAATCATAATTTATAGACTAAATTGCTAGATGACCTCTGCTAGGACCATTGACAGCAGCAATTACAGGTGTTCAACAGATAAGACTACCTGGACACAGGGGAGGGAAGAGGCTTCGGGTTCTTTGATAAAGTGAAACAAATTAGCAGAGCCAGAGAAACTTAACAGAAAATAATAGCTGACGGGATGAGCTGTGCATAAACTAAGCAGAGGAAATAGGAAAAAGCGAGGGGAAAAACTCTCATTTTACTTAGGATTCTGCATGAGTAACCCAACAGTTTGCAAAGCATTAAATAAGGAGAGAGGAAATTTGGATTTTTGCAACTTACCTGTGACCTTGTTGTCACCAATTATCGTGGAAATACTAGCATGTAACAAAGACAAGCAGGAAGATTGCTACACATTGTATGCAATGTTTAAATGAGAATCTTCATAACCAACTAAACTCTTTAGATTCACAAAGCTACAGCATGTTCTCGAATTCTTTCTACTGTAACTTTTTGCCCAAAATGGAGTGAATCAGGCAACTAGGATATGACAAGGCATAATGTTAACTCAGTAAGGAATCTAGGAATGAATCAGATTAAAAAGAAAGACCATTTAAAGGTTAAATAACAAAATGACAAAAGTATATACTAAAGGAAGTGGAACATAAGAACAATTTCCAAGCACCTTGTTTTTGAATGCACTTCCCATGAAAACTGGCACGAATTTCCGTGAAACAGTGACCCTGCGGATTGCCATCTGGTGAGAAAAACAAGTGACAACCGTGAGTTGGTATGAAATAGATGGCCTATAAACTCGTAAAGAAAACAGATCAGATAAACAGTAAGGAAATGACCAACAAAAATTAAAAGCAGCAAGGAGTAAAATTCCATCAGAAGTCATTTAGTTAGCATCAATTTAGACAACAAAACCCCACGCAGCACAACTTGCCATGTCCAGAGTCTGTACCTCTATGCATAAACATATGACATATTAGTGTAATTTAGGCTTGGATAAAGATCAACAAAACTTTACACGGTTATCAACCTGTCATCAACACTCTTAAGCTGGTGTCAAAATCCTACCTAAGCAAAATCCTAGAAGGCCAACTAGAAAAACCCACTCTCTTGATCATACACACATGAGTTTGCTCAGCAAGAAGAAACGCAGTGCAAACTCTCCTAGATCAAGAAAAAGTCTAGGATAATAGGAAATTTGGAATAGTTGCAGACTTGCTACAGGGACAAAAGTCAGCTATGAGGCAAATATAAACACAAATTGCCAAACAGAGCATTCCAAACCAAATAACTGAATTAAATAGTATGGGTAAAAAGAAAATAAAGATCTGATACGATGGTGCTAAGAATCAAACCCATTTAGTCGGTTATTTGCACTCAAGAACAATGTCCTAAAATGCGAATTAAGCGGCCACTTGATCCAATATCATGATGCTAAGAATAAAACCCATTTTTTTGTTATTTGCACTTGAGGACAGTGTTAAAAAATGTGAATTAAGCGGACACTTAATGCCTAAGCGGGTTGGAACCACTCCGATTAGGGAAAAAGCGCTCCATTATGCGGTCATCGCATAATCGGGCACATTTCCAGTAAGCGCCCACATTTTTTTTAATGTGGATGCTTTTCTTTTAAATCCTTTCAAGGTTAAACCCATACTACAAATCCGACCCAACTACTAAAGTAAAAAAAACTAAAGTTTTCCTGAAGCTGTGCTACTCCCTCTATTCTTTCTCTTATTTGAACCCAGTGGCTGCAACGAATATCTCCAGCATTTGTTCAATGCTTGCTAAACCTTGGCCGGCCGCGAAAACTCACTGGAAGATCGTATGATCTCCGACACTCTCCTACAGGCTCTCCAACAATCATCTTGAAGCTCTCTGATATTCCCTTCGAAGATCTCTAGAAAAATAGGTTAGTCAAAGCTTGTAATTATGCTTTCTATTTTTCATGAATTTTATATATTTTACATATGATAAATAATAAATATATATCAAAAATCAAAAATGCAAAATTTCGCATAACACATTTAATCTGCATATAATCCAATAAATCACTAATTGCTCCCGAACCACACACATAATAAACTTTTTGAACATTACTTGAGAAAGTTTTTCCCTTAAGGGGTTGTGTTTGGTTGGCTTAAAACACCAAGAAATGGTTTTTCTCCTCCTGACATAGTGGCCACATTGGATTTTTTTTCTTCTCTTGTTTCTTTGTTCGGGTTTGATCCGCGATGGGAGCTAGGGCTTGAAGGAGTGGAGAACACCTCCACATCAGCGAGATTTCTTCCCCCGATTTCCTTCTAAATCGAGTGAAAATGGATATAAACCCCATCAATTATATACTTTTGTCAGATATAAAAAAATTGGGGGAANAAATAAAACAAAGGAGAACAAGTAAAAGCAAAAGGTGAGAGCCTTCACTCTCTCTGCTGAGATGTTGATCGGTTAAATTTTCTGAGTTCTTGTCGTTTTGATCCTTGATCGGGTGTTTTTAATACAAGGTAAGAACTTTGTTTTTGTTTTTGCTTTTTTTTAGATGTTTATTTGTTTAATTTGATTCATGAGGCAATTGGATCTCTACCTATTTTCAGTTTTGTGTGGCAAGTCGAAACCTTGTCAGGCAAATTATAGATAGACTGTGGACTCCATTGTGAAATTTTGCTTGAGCAGTTGCCTTTGTCCTCCTTTGTGCAGAATTTTGGGTTTTCTTCAAAGAGGGAGTTGTTCATGTGGTTACATTCATGTAGAGTAATTTTCACTTGAGTTATAAGTTGTATCATTAATGAATGGTTTTGAGCTCTTAGTTTAATTTGGAAGTCGTGTTTACTTGTGATATTATTTGGAGGAAAGCTGTCACATGTGGAAGAGTAGCTACTGCTAATACTTTACTGGGCATTTTACAAAAAAGTAAAAACATGTAATCCGAGGAAATATGTAATGTAATTGTTGTTGTCCTTCATATACACGTGCTTCGCTTTGCAATTTGGGACAGTATGTTGCTTAAACTTAAAACCAATGATTTCCCATGTGAAATTATTATATGGTTTTGATTCTTTAGAGGTTAGTAAGTTATAAATTCTCGTTAACTTCAAATTTCACTGAGTTGATTTCTTTTTTCAATAAAAAACAAGTGATAGTTTTGTTGTTTCAAATTTCTTTAAGTTCATTATAACTTTATGCATGATTACATATTCACATAATAATTTCACCATGCCTTTCTTGAATTTGTGCTTGCAGGAACCCTATATTGTCCCTATTTACATGACAACCGAAAAGTTTGTATGTGAGCAACCTACAATGTATTTTATATTGTATAAGATGGCTTCCATTGTGGGTTATGAAGGTATTCGGTTCTCATTTAATATTGTATTCATGGGTTTCATTTGTTGCTTTATTTATGTTTGGGCTATGATGAGTGTTAAAATAACTGAGATTAGCAACTTGTAATGCTTAACATATTGCATTAGATGGCTAACAATGATGACATTGTCTACCACGTCCTGAGCCCTTAATCATATCCTCCATGGATACAAACCAAAATAAAAGAAGCAAAAATATAGAGAAAGTAACAAAGTAGTACATGAGCTTGTTCTTGCTTGCATTTACAGGTCTCGTATGAATTTTCTGCTAATTCAGATGCATAGTTCATACGAGTTATGCCAAATCGTCTAATTTACAAGTTTGGATTCAAGATTTTTCATGTCATGCGGATTATTATGATGAATAAGATTTTTTACAAGTTTCATATGAATTTTCTGCTAACTAAGGTGCGTAATTCATACGAATTATAAGCAATCATATTATTTATGGGTTTCGTATGATTTTTCATGTCATACAGGTATTTATGATGAATCAGGTTATTTATAGGTTACATATGTTATTTTACCACTTTCCTTTTGGTAAGATTACCACCCACAACACTTACAAATAAATTTATTTTTAGTGAAAGGTAAGCGTACCATGATGACCATATACATTTTTCTCTACAAACTTCAATATCAACCAAACACAAGAAAAGTGGGAATATCAACCAAACACAAGAAAAGTAGGAAAAGTCTAATCAACCAATAGTTTTCCTATTTGTTAGATACCAACCAAACAAAAAAAAAGTGTGTAAATTGGTTTTTCACCATGTTTTATGTGTGAACCAAACACCAACAACCAATTTCATGGACAACTTTGAAAAACCCAAAAAAAATACGTTTTTCACATGGAATGAAGTTTCCTAATAAAGTGGGAAACGAACCAAATGGCCCCTAAAATATTAGATAACATGTGTATAGATAGATATAAGGATACATGCATTCAAGGGATAGTTATCTTAAGATGCATGAAGATTGGTGCATGGTATGAAATAGGGATACGACTCAATACATATCGCAACTATAAAGAAGCCTTGAATAAGGTTGGGTTGGTTTTGAGGGTTAGGGTTTAAGGTTTCGATTAGTGTTTAAGATAATAGTTTGGGTTAAGGGGTTGACAGTTTAGAATTTAGGGCTAGCAATATAAGTCTAGATATCAAAACTGTGTAGACTATTTTTGGCTTTTCACTATATTTGAGACCTTTAGTTTAATTCATGTCTTCTTATTTGTTTTTTTGTATTACAAAGATTACCTTATCATGTATGGTTGAGCATCCCCATAAATTCATCCTAACTACTAGTAACTAAGTAATATTATTTCTCAATACTAAATATCTTTTCACTATATTTGAGACCTTTAGTTTAATTCATGTCTTCTTATTTGCTTTTTTGTATTACAAAGATTACCTTATCATGTATGGTTGAGCATCCCCATAAATTCATCCTAACTACTATTTTTTTGTATTACAAAGATTACCTTATCATGTATGGTTGAGCATCCCCATAAATTCATCCTAACTACTAGTAACTAAGTAATATTATTTCTCAATACTAAATATCTTTTCACTATATTTGAGACCTTTAGTTTAATTCATGTCTTCTTATTTGCTTTTTTGTATTACAAAGATTACCTTATCATGTATGGTTGAGCATCCCCATAAATTCATCCTAACTACTAGTAACTAAGTAATATTATTTATCAATACTAAATATCACCAGAACACTAACGGGTTGTTTGGTTTGTTGCAAAAATAAATTGCAACAGATGATATAACAACAAATGTTGCATGCAGCATTTGCAGTGGGAAAGCAACTCCAGATACGATGTTTGGATATCTACAACTATAGTATAGGAAACGTATTTCCAAATGCAAGTTCAATGTTTGATTGAAAAACAGCTAGGCAAAAGCTACAAATTTTTCTCATATAAGAAAACTTGGGCAGTGTTCTAAAACATGGGCTACCCGACCGATTAATCGACCGAGTTCTCGTACTCGAGATCAAACCATGCTCGTATGCATTACCCGTTGGATTATGCGATCAAACGCATAATCAGACAGTTAATTAGTACCAGTCCGCATGTTTACATTATGCAGGCGAGTAGTATCCCCTACACAACACTTATTTTTAAGTTAAAACCCAACCTATTTGTGATTTTAAAACTCGACTCGTTTCAAGATTAATATCCTCTTTGTTGTCTCGATCCCAAGTAAAACAATGGTTCTGACAAAACCCTATAACCTCCCCCCAGCCCCAACCTCCACTTCCCCTCCCACTCCTCCCTCCATCGTCAATCACCGCTTCAGACCGTCGCTGAGAGTCGACGCCAACAGCCTCTTTGATGATCGTTGTCTCTAGCTACCGATTTCGCCACCGATTTTGAGTGTATAACGACTTTAATCAGACTAGCTTAGAGTATTATCGTTACTCTTTTGCTTAGTATGTTTTATATTTTTCATGAATTATTATATTTTGGCATAATCCGCTTAATCGATACCCGAGATCGGACCGTACGCATAATGAAACCGTGTTTTAGAACATTGAACTTGGGTATAGACGGTTTTACTATTTGGATCTAAAAAGATTTTTTTGTTGAGGTGAAATTATTTTTCTTTTTTAATTCTCTTTTACGAAGCCAACGCTTTTCCTCCCATCAATTGCCCATAGCATTTGTTACGAGTCTTTTTACAAAACGAAAGTCTATTTACCTATCTAATTACAAAGTTATAAACCAAACAATGTATTTGCAAATTTAGTTGCTCTATTTACATATGCAACTACGTTTTCATCCAACCCCTAAAGCAAAATATACATGAACAGAAAGAAATGTTACACAAATGAAAGTTAAAGAACATAGAGAACGCCAAAAAGAAAAGAGGATCAAAATAGATGAGCAAAGAAACAAGGTCAAGAGATACTAGCCAAGTAATAAGCTATAGCCTATTTGCAAATGTACGCTCGTAACTATCTTATGGCCTTTATTTTTTATTTTTTTAATGCATGGTGACCAAAGTAAACATGGATGGTCCCATTTTATAGCACATAGATAGTTGATGAGCAAGACTAAAGTAAGTTGTTTGTAGTGTTAAAGTTGCATCATATAATAAATATACTATACGCTAGCTAAACATGAGTCAGTTATTTGAATGGACTGGAAAATTACACTAGGACAATACAGTAATATATTTCAGGGACTAAATCTGAATGGTCGGAATATCAGGTGGATCATAAGGTAAGACCCATAAACATGTCACCATGTCTAATCAAGATGACAATTCAATGAAATACTCCAATTTGGAAATTTAGATTATCAGATGCTGACAGCATCTCAAAATTGAATGTAGTGTAGGATGTAGCTATCAACAATGTCAAGATAAAAATACCTATAAGTAAATAAGCATCAAGTATACTACATGCAGTTTATGCTTTCATTTTTCAATCAATATAATTCTAATAAGAATTAGAGTAAAAAGAACTAAATATATAATTCCTGAAGAAATTCCAGTAATAATAAGAAAACTAAAATTCAGATTTACTATTGTGCACCTATGATGCATGGATACGGATACGGGACACAGATACGATACGGACACAGATACGGGATATGGTAAAATCCAAAAAAATAGGATACGGGGATACGGCAAGGAAATTTTTTTAAAATTATTATTATATATAGAAAAAGGAAAAAAATTAACTTTGTACACATATTAGTCCCCCTACATGTTTAATATTTAATCCCTTAAATGCCAAAGCATTTGAAAAACCGAGTTTAAAGAAACTGACGTAAACAAAGTCTCAGAACTCAAATCCATGGCTTAACATTTTTCGCTTAAATAAAGTGTTCAGTTTGATGTTAACTTAGGGATTGAAATAACAATTTCATTGAGGGGCCAATTTCAAAACATCAAAGCTTCAAGGGACCAATACGAAAAAACCCTCGAGAAAATATCTGGGCCGCTGGCGGGCTGGAGGAAAAAGAGCGAGCTAGCGGTCTGCGGGAAGCCCACGTAGGCTTGTTGCTGACGTGGCACTCGAGGCAATCAGATATTTTCCCAACGGGAAAATATCTAGGCCTTTTCCCTCTATTCATTCTCTCTACTTTCTCTTTCATCGATGACGGAGAACGAAGCAGAAGCAGAGAGATCGCCGGCGGTGGAGGCCTCTGTCACGTGATCGGCACGCAATGAGGCTGGAGAGCTTCCTCCCGCGCAAATCGCTGCAGGTGCTCCTCGTCGAGGGCGACGACTCGACCCGCCAGATCAACTTAGAGAGAGAAAGAGAGAGAGAAGACGAAAAGACTGAGAAAGAGAGACGAAGAGATCAAGAGACACAGAGAGAGAAGAAAACTCACCTTGATAAGGACAAGGCAATTCCGATTCTCTGACCCAGCAACGACGAGGACGAGATCGAGAGAGGTAAGCAGCGGCGATTTTGCCCTCGGTTTTTCTCTCTCTATGGCTTTATACTACTGAGAAACGGGTCTAAGGTGAGACGAGTTTGGGTTTTCAGCACTAAACCCAAACCCGTTTCATCTTTTCCCAGTGGACTGGGATGCTGGATTTGTGGGAGGGCCCGCTAAAGGACGACGAATCCGTGCCGTGTCCAACTCTATGTTGACCGTGATCGGCCAACTTTGACCGTTGACCCATGTCGAACACGGATTGACCGTGTCTGACACGTGTCGTGCACGAATCCGTGCCCGATTCGAGTCGGACACGGATTCATGGGCTCTTTTGGCGAATCTGTGCTTCATAGCTGTGCACTCTTTCAACTTTCAAGTTAACAGAGGTCATTAGTTAACACTCTGATGTCATCCCTTTTGAATATAGCATCTTATCATCAATTTTGTGTTTAAGCAGATGATTACAACAAGTATGCAAATGACAATTCCAGTGATAGACTCTCAATGTTTATTGATGGAAATGAAACGAGGAACCAACCAGGAGTTGTTAAATATTGCCTAAGGCTAATAAATAATGTCATGAATAAGATTAAGTCATTAGAGCAACAATATTCTTAAGAACATTAATGATATTCTGCAAAAGTTATTCTAAAAATAACTGAAATTCAAGAGCATATTGTTTAAGAGCATTAGGCACCCTAGATCATCAGTGTTTTACTATTAATAACAGAAGATGGTGAATGGAAGGGGAAAAAACCAAAAAGGTGAATCATACAGATTATCTCCAATCACCTTAAGATCATTAGATGACACTGGCTCATCATTGAGAAAAGCTTCAGCAAGTTTATCATCTACTTCAGAGACAACTTCAATTAGTTCGCGTCTCTTCTCGTCAACCTGTTTCTCAAGATCAGGTGGAATATCAGTCGTCACAACTTTCTCGCTGAAACAATCAAAATAATGGGGATCAGAAAACCTGAGAGACAATAAGTGTAGTTATTTATACAAATAAAGAGTAAAGAATACAGGTATAAATACCCATTGGAACCATGAAAGAAATAAGCCTTCAATTCTACAAGATCTATGAGACCCTGAAACTCCTCTTCCAACCCGATTGGAACTTGTACGGCCGCACAATGATGTCGAAGCTTAGATCTTGCCTAGAAAAGAAATTTCTGCATCAGAATTCCAATCCTCAGAAACTCAAAGCACCTTCTTTGAAGTAAGCAATGACAAGCAGGTAGAAATTACATGGTGCTAAGTCCAAATCTACTTTCAACAATTCATAAGCTTCATTCTGGAGACCGTGTGGACCCATTACTAGATCCACAGAAGAATGCAATAAACTCCTTAAATAAATAAAGAAGCTTCTTGCAGAACTCCAGATCCGAAATAATACCTCTACATCGTATTTAGCAAAGCTTTCTTTAACTGTATTTAAAACAAAACTCATTTGACGCATCTAAGCTCAAAACACCATGTAAAATAGAAAACTAAACAAAAAAAAACAAAGAACAGAAATCATATTTTTGACATTTTCTACGCCAGTTTGACATTTTATAGGTTTCCTTGAAATGAGATTTTATAATAGCCTTTTATTTTTAAAAGTATATAAAATTATAATCATAATTTAGTCAAAGATTTTTTTTTCCAGTAACCTATTCGTCTATAAATCAATTAAGAAAGCTAAAATAAACAGGAAAGTACTTACTATTTAATAATGCAAAGGATATTGAGGATACTGTTAGTGGGGGTAAGTGACTGGAGGTAGTGTTAATTGTTGATGGACAAAATAAGGAAATGGTGGGTCCTTGTTCATATTGTTGTAGAAGAAGAGTTGACATACATTTCAGTCCTGTAGAAACTATTTGTTAGTCGGTCATATAGATCAAGTTGGTGTTTCCCCATCAATGGTCTCGTTAAAGAACTAAAAATGGATGGCGTTGGCTATTTATCCTTTTCTTGTGATAAATAAGAAAATTAAAAGGAGAACATAACTTTGATGAAGAACTACGCCCATCAATGGTCTCATTAAAGAACTAAAAATGGATGGTGTTGGCTATTTATCCTTTTCTTGTGATAAATAAGAAAAATAAAAGGAGAACATAACTTTGATGAAGAACTAGGCGTAACAACACCAGAAAGAAAGAGTATAGTTGTTTGAATTAGGGGATGCTTCAAGAAAACGAACTATAATGTTATCCCTCTATAACGAAGAAGACAACAGACACAACAGAAGAACAAGCTCAAAAGGAGAACTAGAGAGGTGTAGAAGATGTGATTTCCCATAAAAAAAACTCAGTTTATATTAACGTCACTACTTTCTTTTTTCATTCATTAGACAGATGATAGATCATCACAAAATAAATATCATAAAAAGAAACTTCCAAACAACTTAGCTGAGCCTTTATCCCAAATATTTAGGGTCAGCTACATGAATCATATTCTTCATTCCATTCTGTTATGGGTCATCTCCTCCGTTAAGTTAATCAAAATCATATCCTTCCTAACTGCTTCTAACGAAGTCCTTTTGAGTCTATTTCTTGATTTCCTAGCGCTGTTAACTATAATATTATCATTTTTCCTAACCAGTGCACTAAGAGGTATCCACTGCATATGACCAAACCATCTTTATCTATTCTCTCTCATTTTGTCCTCAATAGAAGTAACCTCTAATTTATAACGGATGCTTATTTATTATCCTATCTTTTAATGTATACCCACAAGACCATCACAACATTCTCATTTCTGCTACATTTATTTTTTTTGCACATGTTATTTTTTAATTGCCCAACACTCGGACGCATAAAGCATAGTTGGTATTATAATCGTCCTATAGAATTTTTCCTTTAGTTTCATTGGTATTTTATCACATAAGACTCCCGAGGCACTCCTCCATTTCAACCATCCCGATTTGATTCGATGTACATGAAAAGAAACTGTTAAAACTTTCCAATAAAAGATAGGAAAACTAGTTAAATTTTCCTGTTTTGAAATTAAGAGAGGAATTTTATGGTGACTGAAACAGTAGTTTTCAGCTTTTTGTAGCTAAGATATTACAAATTTTACTGGTAACTGAAACAATAGTTTTCAGCTTCTTGTAGGTACAATATTACAAAAACAGTTAGCCTTTCAAAGAATATGCAACTGAAAATGAAAAATTTGAAGATGAGACATCCTTAAATACTAGAGAATTGAATCATTATAGACCAAACCACCGTACATAACATGCAATGGAGCTCAAATCATTTTTCTTCTCTTTGGTTTCTTTTTTTCTGGTTGGATGGGTGGTGCACTCCCCCCCCCCTCTCTCTCTCTCTCTCTCTCTCTCTCTCTCTCTCTCTTCTCTCTATATATATATATATATATATATATATATTATATATATATATATATTATGATATACCACACACACACACCACACTATATGATATAATAGCCAGACCACCATATGGTGAGGGTGGGTATTTACCTGACTAAGCACTTTCCATGGATCTGCTCCCATTCGGTCTAACTTGTTAATGAATGCAAGTCTTGGAACCTCATATCTTCTCATTTGGCGATCAACTGTTATGGATTGGCTTTGCACGCCACCAACACTACAGAGGACCAGGACAGCACCATCAAGAACACGAAGAGCCCTTTCAACTTCAATAGTGAAATCGACATGACCCGGAGTATCAATGATATTGACCTACATGGAAACCAAAACAAAGAAAAATCTTGTCAGACATACCTGATTCCTTACCAAGAGAGGAAAAGTAAGACATCGTCAGATTATGAGCCTGCATTTAAATTATTGACATTCAACTGGTAAACAAAATTTTATCAAATAATAAATTTCTGAAGTCCAGTTTGTCATGAAACAAAGAAGTATGGTCAATTTGTTTGCACTATGGGAAAGAATGGTTCAGAAAATCAATTTCAAATAGATAGGATTTTTGGAATATGAATATGCTGCATATATTTAAACAAAGGAGCTGGGACTACTGGTGAATGGCTGCTTTGCTTGAGATGAGAGATTGACAAGGAAGGCTACCAATTCTCTACCCTTCAGAAGAGATAATGGAAGTTATTTATGTTGTCCAATACTCAAGAGGAAGATGGACAGATGACTTATTCAAGATCAATGATTTTCATAACGGCAAAATTGAGATCACGAGCAACACATGCTTTTCATAATGGCAAACTAGATCATGGCAACACAACTGAATGCCAAATACAAGAAACTTGAAGGAAGGGTAGAATTTTCCTGACAATTCTTGAGTAACTCCTAGAAAAGAAGACAAGATAAAGGAACAAAATAATGTATGCCAGACTTTCACAAGGTTGTCTTCTTAAGAAGATTTGTGTACCTCTGAAATAGATCCTAGCCTCCTAGGCCTCTAAAGCAAAAGAATTACCAGTATAAGTAGGCTTTCCACACGTGAACAATGAATCTATCTTAACTAGGGTGAAAAATTAGATGGGGACAAAAAACCAAGCCAATTTCTTTTTACTTACAATGGAAAGATAACGATATGTAACAATCACAGATCATAAACAATTTTATGTCTGAAATGATTGATAGAGAGAAAACATATGTCCTATTACACATTAATTTCTAATCTTGTATCTTATCAAAATCTGTATTAAATTTTCTATCTCCAAGAATCGTATCAACCAGTTAGCGGTCCCAGAGTAACTTAGGGTTTAAACGAGTACACTTGATTCATTGTTATATGGAAATAATATCTTTCGGAGTTCTATAGACACAATTATGCACACACACGCCCATGCCTGCACACACGCGCACAATGCACACGCACCCCACAAAGTAACCACAGTTTTTCGAAACTAAGTACGCATCAGTGAAGTCATCAAATTTTCCAAGAAAAAAAATATTAAATGATTTAACTTTTGGTCAAATTCAAACTCGAAGAACTCGAGATTCAACTCGATTCAATCCATTTCATACTAAAAACATGTTTGAGCACAGAATTACAACCTGATACCCATTCCAAGTGCAGTAAGTAGCAGCGGACTGAATCGTGATCCCCTTCTCCCTCTCCAAATCCATCGAATCCATCTTCGCCCCGACTCCATCTCTCCCCCTCACCTCGTGGATCTCATGGATTCTGCCAGTGTAGAAGAGTATCCTCTCGGTGAGCGTCGTCTTCCCCGAGTCGATGTGAGCCGAGATCCCGATGTTTCTCATCTTCTCCATCGTCTCCTTCCACCATGCCTCCTTCTCCTCCTTTGCACGCGCGACGGCGGAGTATGATCGGCTGCCGGCTGCTGCAGAGGAGGGGCCGTTGATTAGGAGGATGGCGAAAGGGGCGAAGTTAGGGTTAGGGTTCCGAGAGTGGAGAGCGGAGAGGAGGCGGGAGGCTGACGAGCGCGCCATCGATCGAGACCGAGAGATATCGATAGAGAGAAATGTCTCTGTTCGGGCTAAAACCCTACTGGGGTTGAGCGTGGGATTTTGGTTTGGATTCGGGTAGGGTTTGGAGCGGGTCAAAGTTGGGGGATTTGATGATACTGGGTTTGGAGTTCGGATCTTCACCACGTAAAGCAACTTTTTCAGTTGGGAGTCCTAATCAGCAAGCTCCCAAGAGCTCTCAAGACATGACCCATCATTTTTAATATCAAGTCACCCTCCTAACTAATGTTGATCTTCAACAAACTCCTAGTTAGGGGCTTCACAATATCAAAAAAAAACACTCTTCTATTTTAGTTTTGTGTTAATATCAAAAAAACCCTCTTCCATTTAACAACTATTTTCAACTTGGGTTTTGGGTTTAAAAGTAAGGGGGGTTTTGTAAAAAAAAAATTAATGCTTGGAAGCTCCCAAGAGCTCCGGTGGGCCCCACTAGCCACATCAGCCCAGGGAGCCCCTTGGGAGCTTGCTGGGAGTTTGTTGGAGGGGGGGTTCACGAGCTCCCACCGCCACGTAGGCCTTGAGAGCGGCGGTGAGAGCTTGGTGCACTTGCTCTAACAAGCGTACTCAATGATACAAGTGTACAATAATTCTATTATATGGCAATATATATTAAATCTAATTAAATCTATTAGTGGGCACATATGATTAATCTGTGTGTATTGCTATCATTCAGGATAACCCGCTAAAGTGATCGATCAATTTGGGTTAATGGGTATTTAAATATAATCATGGGGTTATATGTGCAGATACCAAGTTGTAATTATGATTTGATGAGGGACCAAATTGCAAATGTACAACATCTATAAATAAGGGGTTATGGTGCCTAATCTAGGGTTACATTCTCTAATTCTTTTCACCCCCATCTAGAGAGAAATTTGGCTAGAAAAACCCTAAGGTTAGAAGATCCAAAACTCATCTCAAGTTTAATCTATGGATTCAGGTATAAGCTTCCGCTCTTTTCTTTTGATTCTTGTAAATCTCTTTGAATTAATCATGGCTTTATAGTTTAGATCTCAAGTTTTTATAAGATCTATCAAGTGGTATCAGAGCCACCTTGATTTGTTCTAAGATATTAAGATTAAAATTAGGGTTTTTGATCTTAATTGTTTTGGATTCAGTTTTTGTTCACGGATGAACAGTAACGGCTGTTGAAAAAAAAATTCCCTGATGAACAGTAATGTATTTTTCGGATGAACAGTGAATAAAAATCGTAGGTGAACAGTAAACTTTTTTACTTTTTTGGATTTTTCTTCGATTTTTCTTGGATCTAGATCAAGAAAACTCATTTTTTTCGATTCTGGATCTGTTTTGAAATAAAATCGAGAAATTCTTTTGGATCTATTGTGTTTTGGTCGTTGATCCCGTGCTCCTCGCCGGCGAAGTGTCGCTGGCGGCCTCGCCCTCGACTCCGACGGCGACGGCGGCGTTAGGAAACCCTAGGGTTTCGACCTTTTGGGTGCAGGAGCAATGACGGCGGCGGTTTCAGATTTAACCCTCTAAGGGTTCGTGCGTGAAAACGTGCGGGAATTAAGGAGGTGGTTACCTCAAATTTTGGCGAAGCTGAAAGCTTCAAACGAACTTGGCGTTCGTTCTCAAGTGAGCATCGCGCTCAAATCAAACGAACCTCGCGTTCGTTCTAAGGTGAGCCTCGCGCTCAATTTAAACGAACTTCGCGTTCGTTCTAAGGTGAGCCTCGCGCTCAGTTCTAAGGTGAGCCTCGCGCTCAATTTAAGTCGAACCTCGCATTCATTCTCAGGCGAGCCTCGCGCTCGATTCAAAAGAACCTCGCGTTCATTCTCAAGTTGAACCATGTGTTCATTTTCAGTCGAACCTCGTGTTCATTTTTCAAACGAACCTCGCGTTCGTTCTCAAGTTGAACATCACGTTCATTTTCAGACGAACCTCGCGTTCGTACTTAAGTGAGTCTCGTACTCAATACAGACGAACCTCGCGTTCGAAGTCAAGCGAACTTCGTATTCACTATGGTTAAGCCTCGGCTTCTCATATTAAATTATGGGTCCACTTTGGTATACTTAATTTATTCAATTAAGTTATGGGCCCTATGTAGGCTGTCTAAAAATCACTACAGATAGTTTATCCCTATCAAACACCAATGATGGAAATTACAATCTGACGACTTCCAGAAGACTACAATTTGAAGACTTTCACGTAGAAGGTTACAATCTGACGACTTTCACAACAACTAATAAAAGCTCTAATTCAACAGCCTTCACAATCAACATCGGGAGTTACAATCTGATGACTCTCATATTTTCAAGGAGCCAAGATGAAGGTTACAAGGTGACTATCTTTGCAACGCTCTAGCGAAAGAGACTACAAATTGACGGTCCCTTCATATTAAAACGCAGATATCTCTCAAACCGTAAGGAATTTGGAAAAACTGACGGGGCAAACCAAACCCCCATGATTTGAGGGATTTCCGCCCCACTTAGGAGCAGATTAAGGGGGTTGTTACCACCCTTAGTCCCCTATAAATACCAAAAACTCAATTGAGTTAAAGGATCGGCTTTTTGCATCAAAAACAGATTGCAAAAGGAGAGATCGGCAACCTCTTGAGCAGATCATCTTCGGATCTTGGGGATTTCTCGGATCTGGAGATCAGAAAAGGGGGGTCTTCGCTCAATCTCTGGAGCATTCCTTAGAGCTTTCATCCCTGGCTTATTAACCGATTTTCGGTTCAAATCAACTCTGTTACAGAGTTTAAACTCGTTCTGAGTTTCTAAACTCGATCTGAGTTATCAACTCGTCCAGAGTTTCAAACTTGCTTTGCAAGTCCTCCACAACGTCAAATCGTGAGGAGAAGACCACGTTCCAGTGAATCAAGACGTTTGGATCGTCAACGGACAGCAAACTCGACACGAGCATTCGAGTGAGGCACTCCATCGCCACCGTGAAGAACCCAGTTTTAAACAAAGGGGAGGGTCAAATTCATTCTCTTCTCTTTTATAATCAGGAAATCTAATTGTAATCGAAATCGAGAGAGTTGTAATCATTCTTTTTCTAAGCAGTTAGAGAGAATAAATCAAATACGATTCTTTCATTATTTTTCTTATTACAAATTTTCTGCAAACACCCTATTTAAGCTATGGAAATTTAAATTAATTTGGTTTTTAATCAATTATTTAATTCAAATATTATGACACTAAGGTATTAAGATTGTCTCTCACTCCAATTGATTAATTAAAACAAGAAGTTGTCAAAGTAATCTCTCTTGTGTAGATTGTTCATGAGGAACGTGAGATGTTTGTGTGTATGCTTTCGTGTAAATATTTAACCGGCCCAAAGGAAGGTTAATATTTATTTAGACTGTATACACATATGTGATGATAAGCGTGTGACAATTATAAGGTTTACATGTGAATAATGAATCGATCCAAAGATAGTTTCATTATTTAACATGAGTTATTGTCAATGTTTGATCATTGCAACAAGGTATCACTTATAAGTTAATATTACTGTCCAGAGACTTGATATTAATGTTGTGCCAGATATCTTGGATGGGATTCGTCATTATTTGAATTTTATTGATTACTAATTATGGTTATTGATGTGAGTATTTTTGTTTTATTTCAGCTAATGCATCTGCTGCAACAATTTCTGCTAACATCAACTCAATTCTCATGCTAAATGGGACAAATTTCAAGGTTTGGAAAAAAACATATTAATTGTTCTTGGCTGCATGGATCTTGACTATGTATTAAGAACTGAATAACCCCAACCTCTCAATACGGATAGCACTCCTGATGCAAAGAAGGAGTATGAGAAATAGGAGCGTTCAAATCGCATGAGTCTTATGATCATTAAGCGCGGTGTTCTGGAAGCCTTCAGGGGCATAGAATCCGAAGGGATTACTAAGGCTAAAGATTTCCTTGCCGAAATTGAGAAGAGTTTTGCGAAAAACGATAAGGTAGAAACAAGCACGCTCTTAGCTCGCTTGATTTCAATGAAGTATAAGGGCAAAGGAAATATCAGGGAGTACATTATGGAAATATCTCATATTGCTTCAAAGCTTAAGGCACTTAAACTCGATCTTTGTGATGAGTTATTGGTGAATCTGGTTTTGTTGTCTCTTCCTGCATAATTCAATCAGTTTAAGGTCAGTTATAACTGCCAAAAGGAAAATTTGACTCTAAATGAGCTCATTTCATACTGTGTGCAAGAAGAAGACAGGTTGAAGCAAGATAAGACAGAAAGTGCTCATTTGGCCTATGCCTCTAAGGATAAGGGCAAGAAAAGGAAGAATGATAATGAAGCTGCTAAGGGTCCAGTTCAGAAGAAACAACATAAGGATAATCAAGGTTGTTTCTTCTGTAATAAGCCTGGACACGTAAAGAATGATTGTACAAAATATCACGTCTGACGTGCTAATAAGGGTATGTTCCTTACTTTGGTTTGTTCTGAGGTTAATTTAGCTTCAGTACCTAGAAACACTTGGTGGTTAGACTCTGGTGCTACTACTCATATAAGTGTTTCTATGCAGGGTTGCCTGAGCTACCGAAAGCCAAGTGATGTTGAAAGACACATCTTTGTGGGCGACGGACAATCGGTAGATGTGGAAGTAATTGGGCACTTTAGGTTGTTGTTAGGAACTGGTTCTTATTTGGATTTGAAAGATACTTTTGTAGTACCGTCTTTTAGACGGAATTTAATTTATGTTTCTGTATTGGACAAATCAGGTTATTCTTGTTCATTTGGAAACAATCAATTCAGTTTATCTTTTAATTCAAATGTTGTGGGAACCGGTTACTTGAGTACTTATGATAATCTATATTTGCTTGATACAATTGCTTCTTATAATGAATCCTTGCATGTGGAATCACGTGGTACTAAGCGTAAATTAAATAAGGAAAATTTGGTGACATTATGACATAAGCGCTTGGGTCATATCTCAAAAGATAGAGTTGAGCGTCTTGTGTCTGATGGCATTTTGGATTCCCTTGATTTTTCGAACTTCGACATATGTGTTGAATGTATCAAGGAAAAACAGACCAAAGTTAAGAAATTAGGTGCCAACAGATCTTCGGAGAT